GGACCTGACTATCACAATTATAGAGGAGGAAGAGTTTATTTGAGGGCTCATGGTTTCAAATGTTTTAGTCCATAGAAACCTCATAAATGAGGCTGAACACCATGGCAGATTGTGTGGCACAGGGAAGCACCTCACATCATGGTGATCAGAAAACAGAGAGAGAGAACTCCAGGTGCCAGATACAAATGTAGACTCCAAAGCAACTCCCTAATTCCCACCTTCTCCAGCCATACCTCACCACTTCAGTTTCCACTCAGTTAATCCTTATCAGGGGATTCATTCACTGATTGCATTAAGACTCTCACAACCGAATCATTTCTCTCCTAAACCATCTCATATTGTCTCACACATGAACTTCTGGGAACACCTCACATCCAAACCATTACAGGGGGCAAAATGATATAACCAAATGTATCTCCATTCTCTGATTTTTAATAAAAGTCACCAAAGCAAACAAGATTGCCAAAAAAGTACTGTGATCTATTAAAATTTAATAGATCCTCAATCACCTCATTATTAAATAGAAAATCAATTAAGTGGCAGATCTGTTTGAAAACTACAGTGGCCCAGGATTGTAGTCATGGAGAAATAAGGCAAAGTTATCTTAGTGAAACATGAGTCATACAGCAGGTTTCACAGGATGAAATACCCCTTCTGAGTGATCATCCCAGTTTAGGGCTGGGGCCCATCACAGCTTTGTGAATCCAGGAAAATTACATTTGTCAATATTATCAGGGTTTGCAGAGCTGATGGTCCTTTGACACTATTTCACAAAATATGAGGGGTATTATGACACTTACTATTAAAGTCACCCACTGTGTACATCCAATGACCTAAGAAGGTGAATCTGGAATGGTTGCTGATTAACACAAAGTCAGAACAAAGGGGATGATAACAATAACTTAGAACAAATGTTATGAGGAAAAAAGGATTGTGTGGTTCTGGTGTTAAAAGCCAAACTCTTCTCAAGAAAATCTGATGGAAGTCTCTGGTTCAGTTCATTTCCATTTATAAACATATATTCTAACAGAACCCTTTTGATAGACTGGTATAGAAGAAAACCTATTGTTTGCAATTGTATATGAGCACAACAGGAAGACTTTATATAAAAAATTGCAGTGTCTGTATGTAGGATTACAGGCTGGTCTTTCTGCCATGATTGTTATCATTTATCAAAGGTTGTCATCTCTTCTCCTGCCTCATTTGTCGCCTCCAACGTAAGTTGATAAACAGGTGCTATCTAGCTATCCCACTGCCATTCATTCTTCTCATCTATATCTCATGATGTATCTGCTGAGCACTTCCTCAATGCTGGCAGACTGGCTCACATCCAATCTGGACAAATTGCTGATCTTTCCTGCCATGTAATGTTAAATAGGGCTTCTAAGGGACATTGGACAAATAACCCCCAAAGCCAGATTTAGCATCTAAAGATAGGTTGACATTTCTTAAGTGTACATAGTTTAGGGAGTGCTTCTGCTTTAAAAAAACTTCAAATTATACTAGGACTTAGTATATAGAATCCCAAACTTACATCTAAAGCTATCCATAATTTTGTAAATCTCAAAGCAGGATCATGTTGATCATTTGATTCTAGATGATCAACATGTTCAACTGCAATTTACAGATCATTTTCCCTTCTGATCATGAGAATGGCCTGAACATAATTAGAATAATTAATAAGGTTCCATATATAGACTTACATACAAGCTTTTGCTTACCCTAATATTTCTTTTAGCTCACTATGAGCTTCTCAGAATAGGTACTTCCTGGTGCCTGGTGCCTGGAACATTGGGAGGTATTTCAAAGTATGATGATAAGGTATAGTGAAATAATTAATTGTATCTCCTGGGGGCTTTGCTTGCCAGCATGGGACCTAGAACAACAAAGTATTTTCAGTGAAGGAAACGTAATTGGAGTTTTCTAATCCATGCTAACAATGGCATGAGTCATTGAGATGGCTGGAGGGACTATGGTATCAGTACCAAAATAAGAGGAAAAGGTGTATCTTAATGAGTTCACAAGGATTTAAGCCTCAATAATACTAAGACTGTCCTATAAATGTTTACACACCAGTTATAAACATAGTGGCTAGTATTTGGGACAAGGAAATGTGATTAATTGAAAATTTTTTTAAGGAATGAATGTGTGTACATCCAATATGAAAGAGAAAATGGAGAGAAGGAGAGAAATGAACACTTGATCCCAGGAGTCATAATATATGCAGAATTTATATATATATATATATATATATATATATATATACACACACACACATATATACATATTAATTAATTATATACATACAATTAATATAACTATATATGTATGTATATAATTGTATATTGTATATACATTGTATATTGTATATATATTGTATATATATAATTGTATATATATTGCATGTAGCAATGTATATCAGATGCATATAGATGTGTAAAAAATTACACCAAAATAGTAAATGCAGTAAATTATAGTACATAGTAGATAATTTTATTAGTTTCTTCTCATGACTTGGAAGGCAGTTTGAATTTGTAAGATGATATCTAACTTGCTATTCATCTCTCTCTTCCTTCATCATTTTCTCAAGACCTCTGTGTAGTCACTCATGAAAACTTTATGACATTAATCCAAGACAATGCAAACTGAATCAGCTATTAATGTCACTGTTATTAAGTGTTATTAAGTCCTAACATAAGAAATAAATCCGTTGGCCACTTCAGTCTCAGGTATTTTCATCTGTGTCTGGTGGAATATTACTTATGTATTCAAGGAAGAGAGTTTTAGAGAATATATCTCAAGCCTCTTTGTGTTGATTTCTTTCTGTAAAAATATTGGCTTTTTCGTTTTACATTTTCATTTTTGTTTTAGAGGAATGGTCATCAATAATAAATTTCTGTGGATATCAAATGTCACAATGTCTACCTATGGGTCTTCTGATGAATATTTTTGAAAAAATAATGGCAACATTGTTAGCTGGAAATGCATGCATCAGTTTTTATAATGGGTTGATATTTTGTAACTATCTACATAAATCCACTATTTAGATAACTATTTTATTTTCATTAGAAGAAATTTTCACTAAAACAATAAATAAGGTTACACAAGAAATTTTTTCAGTATACTTTCCTAAAGAAAGGAACCTCCTCTGTGATGCTAATTGCTACTGAAAGCATCTTTCTTCCAAACATTTATAGAAGCCAGTGTTGCCCAGAGTTAAGTGCTGAACTTATTATATGGTCTTTAGAGGGTAGGCAAAATTCCCTGGCACCAAGAAAAAGGGAAAGTATACATAGAATAAGAGGTGGGCAAAGCAAATGAGTGCATATATCCAGACACATTAAAAAAAGTGACACCATTGAGCACCATAGTTCTAAAAATGATCTAAGAAAGCTTCCCTAAACTCTTTTAGACTTGTGGAAAAAGATACTGAAGTAAAAGAAAATTTGTAGATGCATGAAAAATGCTTTGTTAAGATCATCAAATTCATTATCATCATCATCATAATTTAGTCAATCTAAAAGTTATCCATCAGACCAATAAAAAAATAACTAAAACCAAGAAGATAATAGAACTAGAAAAAAAAAAGTTATCCATCAGATATATATTTAAAAGCTAAGTACTGTGCAATATATGTATTTGGAACCTAATGATGAACAAGTCAGGAAAGTTCTCATGCATATCAGAGTGAGTCTTGTAAACAGGCAATTCTGAGATTTTAGTGGTTTGGGACAACTCATTTACCTCCAAATATATTTTCTTCTAATCTGTCATTGCATATGAATTGTTTTGGTTTGTCTATTCTCCCATAACTATTTGAATAAACGTTTAAATGTACATTCATTAATTTGTTGCTTTGTTGAAGTAGAACTTATCCTTGTGATTATCATGCCAGCAAGTACTATAGGAGCTGGGAATCCAGGTGTGAAAGGTTCAGCCCTTGGCCTTCAGTGACTCAAACAAGATAGAGGCACAGAGATTAAGCAGACAAGTACAGTGTGATCTGACAAATGCTATCCTTGGGATAAATGCAGAGTGAAAATGGAGGGTCAGAACAGGAATACCTAAAAGAGATTACAGATGAATCATAGAAAGACCCACTAATAAATGCCATATGAATTGAATGTTAAAGTCAATTTTGTGTACTTAGGAGTGCCTTAGCTAGAGACAGGGTGTATATGCACAGGGGTGGCACTGAGGGATTATGGTCCTATACTATTAGGTGATTTTTTTACAGCATTTTGCATACAGCCTGAGGAGAGAGTATGATAGGCTAAGGATCTTCAGTGGAGCATGAGGCAGGCAGAGAAGGATAGAGTGCCAAGAGATTAAAACACACCCTCGAACTTCACAAACACACCTGTGGCATAATAAATAGTTGAGTCTTTTTTTTCAGAAGCTTGCAGCTGTATTATCTATCGGTTGAAGCCCATATACACAGGTAGGAAAAGGAAGGCAACTATGCATCATGGAAGGAGACAATGAGACACTATTACTACAAGGTCTCTGAGGGACCTAAATGCATGCTATGTTGCTATTTTTAATGACTTTTCATGATTCAGCTGATTCAGTTACTAGATTCTATTGAATTCTTCTTTTGCCCTGGCTTCAGCAGGTATATGGGGAACATGAAAACGAAGAGCTTTTCTAAGAATGGTTGGTAAAATTAAGAAAGACATTGCATTTGTCTTTGTTTTATACTTGGAGCCCATTTTTTTTTAAAGCAAGTGATTTCATTGAACAGAAAGAAAAGTGAGTAAAGGTGTATCACTATCTAACAAATCATTCACATCCCTCTTCATAATTTATCTTTTGGATATTTAACAGCTTGTAATGACTGTGATCTTGCAGGTACTTCCCATAAGCTATATATGCATTATTAATAAGTGCTGTGACTGGAAATTTCCATCACTGCAATGACTCTTCGAAAGCATAAGTTCATTCAAACTAAAAATGAATAGGAGTTTGTCTAAGTTTTAATGTATGCATTCTTCTTGCAGATGGTTGAAAAAGAAGGTTATCTTCAAAAAGCCAAAATTGCAGATGGAGGAAAGAAAATAAGGTAATAGGAGTTTTTCAACTCACTATTCTATAACTATACTAGTTTCCTATATCCCCAACTTGTGTCACTCTTATTTATTGGGAAGGAAGACCCTATGGTACCAGACTAGAATAAAATTACTCCTCTTCTATGACTGTGAACAGCATTGTTTTTAACATAATTATGGTTTTCAAAGGAAGGTGCTACTTCTATATTTTTATAATTATTGCACAGAATACATAAATGAAGTGTTTCTTATCTTCCTGGGACTTACAATCTTTTTAAAATAATAAAAAAACAAGGTAGAGGATCTTAATTTCTGTGATTGACAGTTTAGGCCATGGATGGACTTATTCACAATATATAAAAAATCTCAATACAACAAAATGAGAGGGAAAAAAATTGAAGGATAAAGAATCAGAACTACATTTATAGATCAAAATAAAAATAATTTGAGAAAATATAGGAAAAATGAAATCATGAACACAGGGTATGTGAGATAAATTTTAAAAGAGAATAAGAACTCACAATACAATGACAACAAAAGACATTGAAGAAAAAAATGTTGACATGAGAATTAAGTTGTTGGTTATATTGTATACGTTGGGTATTTAGAAATAGTTCTCATGCCAGTCTTATTTTGTATTCAGCTTTGCAGTAGGTAAGTAGGTAATATGCAAGCTAGAAAATTATGTAAAAAGTACTGAAATTGGGAGACAAGGCATATACTCATGAGTATATTATTAACAGTTAAGTCCACATGATATAAATGTACTAATTAGCTACACAAGGGGACACTTGTCAATTGTATAATACAATTCATTACTAGAATGGCACTCTGGCCAACACTAGAGAATAAAATGTTTTGTTTAATGAATTAGGTGCCTATTTATTTTAAATAAGTTAACTTGAAGGGGTTCACCCATAATCCCACTACTTAAAATAACAATTCTTATTATAAGCAACAAACTATGTTTTCTGCCCATATCAAGTCTTTGGCTTTGCAAACAGGGCTGTGAATCTTTTCCTTGACTGTTATTTGGCAATGGTCATGTAGCCACCTTCCCCAGGGTGCACAAGAGAAGCACAGGATACAAGATCAAATGCAGACCTGATTCGAGAGGCAGGGCTAATCTTTGCTTCCTTGAGGAACTAACCTAGTGAATCAAGTTCTAAAAGGGCAAAAGGAGGGAGTCACTTGACTATCCAGCCTGAGTGCTCTTCTTTCCCATACACTTCAGTCCAATCTTATCAACCCATAAAAGAGTATTAAAAAAGTTATGCCTCTCCCTAGATGAGTATGTCAATAGCCTTTCTTAACCTCCCCTGCCATGTGATCTTCAAGAATTTCTACTTCAGCCTAATCAGCCCTTCACTGGCACTTGGTAGGAGAGAGGAGGTGGCAGCTCACATCAGTGCTACCCTTTGAGCTCATGCAAAGAACAGAAGAAAATTTAAAAACAAAACAAAACAAGATGATGCCCTGTGGTGATAGTTTTGTAAATCATCCTTACCCATAAGCTATTCATAAGCCAACTTTATAGCATTTTCTTGTATAAGCGGATATTAAGAGGAGGCTGAGGCACTTGGGCCCCTCCCCCAACCAACACTCATGAATACATTTTTAGGTACTTTCAATCAGTGTGGTTACCATTTTGTATTTGTCTTATTTGCACAACAAACTTAATCAGTTTCCATACAAGCTTTAATTTATAGTTTACATTTACATAAACTTCAGTATGTTCTATTTTATTGTTATTCCAATCAGTTTGCATAGCATTATGCATTCTTTCAGCTTTCATCATTTAAAGTCACATAAATTTTAGTTTTCCTTTTCTGAAAATCCCAGGTGCACAGAGCTGAGTTGATTACTCCCTTCAGTTTGTGGCCTTGTGTTACCATCATTTGAAGCAAGACCCCTAGAGCTGTTTATTTTATTCTCAGTCTGCAACTCTCAAGTCAATAATCTGTAGACATACAATCTAATTGTTGAAAAATCCACACTCCATATATGTATTTGGATATATGTGTGGTATTCTAATAAAAATCAATTGAATGTTTGAATGTGTTCCATAGTTAATAAACATTTTCCTATTATAAATCTCATGTTTCTTACTACTCTCATTCAGTGTAAGTGCTTGTTCATATCTATGTATGTTACTATATTTAAAATTACTTTATTTATTCCAGTTGCTGCCATTTTTCTATTGTGTATTGGTACCAAATTTTACTTATGCAATATTGCAGGTATGAATATTGAAGTTGTATGTAACTCCTTTCATCCCAAGCAACATCGCAGAAGCATCCACATATATATCTCCTTTGAACCTGTTAGAAATTATCTGGGGACTATAATCAAGAGTGTAGGCTTTCTTGGACATTTAGAAAGTCACTGAGTGTCATTGCCAGACTTTCTCCTGAATGAGTGTGCCAGTTCACTCTGCACTGAAGAAGGGATCCCACTTCCCCACAATCTCATTAACAAACAACATTACCACACTTTCAATTTTGACAAATTCATGACCATAGAATGTAACTTCAATGTTGCTTGTATTTTTTACTGTTTCTATTTCAGTGAAGCCTACATTTTTTTTAAATGTAGAATCATTCAGATTCTGCATCCTGAGAATTATCTATTCATAAACTTTGACTATTTTCTATTGAATCTCTTCTTTTTATTTTTTTGATAATTTGAGAGAACTAATTATATTCTAAATGATAATATTTTTTTCAAATTTAGACATTGTAGATATGTCTTCCAAATATATTTGGTTTTTGTTTTTATTTTATATAATTTACAAATTGAACTTTGTATATATGATCACTATATTTAATAGCACATGATTTTCCACAGTGTTTGTAGGCTATGATATACAAAATAATCCCTACCCTTCTTTTTTAAATTTTATTTTTGAGTCTAGTTTTATTTTAAAATAGTTAAAATTGTAGTAAATCTCCTAAAGCTTGTCAATTTTTCTTTTATATTTTGTAAAGATAGATTCTAAGCCTGTATTACATGATCAAATTCCATAACTATTTTAAAATAAATCATGCTATGTATTGCAATATTCCTTGCCCAAGGAGTCTGTTTGCTTTTATCACTAGCAACAAAATGGCCAGTTTAGTCATAATCTTGAAAAATTGTATAGATCTTATCTCATTGATAGTTTAGTAATTATTAAGTAATATACCACAGTTACTATAATTTGTATTTCCTATGTTAAATTTCTTTTGGTAGGTGGTTTCCCATTCAACAAGGATCTTTTTTGGGGGCGAGGGAGGTACCCAGGTTTGAACTCAGGGGCACTCGACTGCTGAGCCATACCCCCAGCCCTATTTTGTATTTTATTTAAAGACAGGGATTCATTGAGTTGCTTAACACCTCACTTTTGCTGAGGCTGGCTTTGAACTTGTTATTCTCCTGCCTCAGCCTTCCAAGCCACTGGAATTACAGGCATACACTACCATACCTTGCATCATCAAGGATCTTTATATCATTTTAATACATTGTATTGATTTGAAAAGCAATCTTACTAGATGCATGTGACCAAATGCTTTACTAGTAATGCTGAAATAATACTAGCACATTGACTTTATTATCATTTCCTACTGCACAAATGAAGAAACTTAGTTACCATATTAACCTCTTCTTTCCCCCAGATTTTATTAAAGGATCCTATCATATATTTTAACCCTATTCTCTGTTTCAAACATGTTTGCTTTATCTTTGTAGCTTTAAGCTATTTAAGGCCAAGAAGTTTAAAAAAAAAAAAAGGGGGTCCTTTTGTTTTCTGTCATGCATAATACCAAGGTCTTCTTCAATTGTCACTTGATAAATATTATTGTTTAAATTTCTATCAAATTTTTTACTCATAAATCCATTTTAGATCATCTACATCTTGTAGTATTATCTTTTTATTCCCCCTATTTATTCTCCTTTTCATTTGTCTTTATTCCTTTTTTCATGTATTTTCTCTAAAATTTTGTATTTTGATTTATCTCAATATGAACAGGAGAAGGTGACAGGAAGGAGAACTTGTTGGCTACATCTTATATTCATAAAAGGCCCTAAATTTAGTCTTATTTCAAAATGAGGTTATGCACATTTCCCTTGTGATACTCTGACAGGCTTGAAAGCAGAATACATTCAGCATTCAACTTTAATTTTTAATTATGAACATAGAAATTATGCTTCAGCTTTTCTGAAGAAGCTTAGGAATTTCTTCATTTGGGGAATTCCATCTCCAAAACTGTAAGTTGCACTGGCCTCTATGAAATTCTATGAGGCCTTAGTAAACAGTTTTTTTGAAGGCTTAAATTACAAAAGGCACATGTCATTGTGATTATGCTCTTTCAGTACCTCACACTTCTGTCTCTGAACTCGGATCTTTTGTTTGTGGATCTGTACATATCATGTACAGATTCTCACTCTGCTGTCTTCTTCAGAGGAACATGAGAATACATGGGGGTGAAAACATGGACAGAGATGGGTTTGAAAATAAATACATATAAGGGTTTTGCTGTGATTGTGTCTCCTAGTACCTGCCTTCATTCCAGGGCCCATGAATCTTTTTTTGTGTGTGTGGGGATGTGTGTGTATGCGTGAGTTTCAACACAATTGTTACTCAGAATGAACTTATTTTAGAATCTGATACTAAGGTATCCTCCTCATGTGAATTTATTATTTTTTTCCTTAGTACTTTCTGCTCACTGTGGTAATAAATTCTTCCAGGCTAAACCTGTCTTTTTCTATATTCTTGCCACACTGATAGAGATGTATGTCTCTTGGACCCACCTTTTAGCAGTTGCAAATTATAAGAAGCTTAGAATATGAGAGAGAAAAAATAAGATTCTAGAGCTACCAGTCTGAGATGAGTCAGGACATTTAAGTGTATGAGGGATTTTGTGGTAAATTGGTCAGGGACACTACAGTAAAATCACTGGTGGAGGATCAAGCCAAATCCAGCATGACCAAGTCAGGTAACAGTATCTGAAATTTATGAAGTTATCTCAGATACTTTCCTCTTATTGGTCTGTCATTTCGTCATTAGCTAAAGGATGCACGAGTGATCAGTATAGGATACAAAGTGTTGATGTTTAGAGCAAATGAATGTGTTAAACTCAGAACTTATGCTCACAGGCTCTTATAATGACATTGAATATTTTAAGGGCCATTTTCCATCCAGCATTCTCCAGACAAGCAGTTATAAAGTTGCTGTTATTATGTGCTGCCATCCGGTGTCCATTTTGTAGAATGTCAAGATGATGTCTGTGTCGAGTTTTGTTTTGCTTTTTTTCATTTTCCAACTTCATGCTCAGGATTTGTTTTAGGAAAGTTCTCTGAGTGTTCCACTCAGATAAAATGTCTCAGCAATTGCATATGTTAAACAAGATTTTTCTTAAATTGTAATTTCCCCTTAGATATGATTTGCTTTGTATGTGAAAAGTTAAAGATGCCTGCATTTATTATTTATTTATTTATTTATTTATTTATTTTCTTGTCCCAAGATCTGTTTTCTACACTGAATCTAGCATGGGTCTTTCACCTGATTTTTACCTCTTTGTCTGTGCAGAGACCTGGAATAGCCTTATTTATTCCTGGGAACTCTAACTTATTAAGATGGATATTTTCTGAATTACATGTCTTGCTTTATGGTAAAGTCTCTTGAGCAACTTAGTTTTTATCCTGTATATGGTAAAACACAGTGTTCCAGGGCTGTCCTTGTGGCTCAGTGGTAGTGTGCTCACTTAGCAAGCACAAGGCCCTGGGTTCGATCCTCAGTACCACATAAAAACAAATAAAGGTTTTGTGTCCAACTATAACTAAAAAATAATTTTTAAAAAAACAAAAACACAGTGTTCCAAATGTTGGGATGAAATGTGGGGGCATTAACTGGTTCCTATTATGGATGAATTTACCTGCTGATCATCAGGATGAGGATGGAAGGCAGGGATAAAATGACTGGCATTGCAAAACAGCCCAGGTCAGGTTAGGATACAGCTTTGCAGTAAGGAGAAAAAGGTTCTGTCTCCCTTTCTTAACTTCTGTCATGATACTCTGCAATACATGCTAGATAAGACTGAAGGGAGAGCTGGTGCCACCTGCTCTAGAGACAGCTGTTACCGTGGAATGAGCATAGGCTCCAAGGTCCAGGAGATGTGGCCTGATTCCCATCTTCATAACATGTGTGCCTGTGGTTAAGACGCAGTCTCGCTAAGCACCAGTCCACCTCCCTGAGTTATTCAGAGGATTTGTTTCTATGTTTTTTGCCTGTGTTCTAGTTAGAAATAAAATCATTGAGGTCTCTTCTTATTTTCTTTTATAGTCAGCCCTTTGAATTTTGTTTGATACATGTGTTGAAAAAATGTGTTTGATAATAGTGTTAAATGTTCAATGGATATTTGTGACTGGCTGTGTGATTAAATTATGTGATGCATGTGAAATTCCTGTGGCATACCTGGGACAGAGTGGCCACTGCAGCCTGAGAGCTCATATAACTGACTCATGTCTAAGAAGTCAGGAAGACTTCTAAAGTATGCACAGGTATTGAGTTTGGGATGGATGGGGTTTTGCCAATATTTCTTTAAAAAAAAACATATAAAATAGCTAATAAGAGTGACAGATTGCTGATGTGTTGTAACAGGCTTCACACACAAGATTTTATGATTTGAGAATTTCAACCAAACCTATGTAAAATCTGATACTGATGATATCTTTAACCAAATTAGCATTGCATAGGCCTTTAAAAAAAGTATAAACTAATAAATAGATTACAGACTTTGTTGTCTTGACTTCATTGTCAGAGAAACTGGATTGACTTTCAATGTAAGTGTGTAGCTTTGTGGCCTTCATCAAGTTATCTAAATTCTCTGAGCCTTGTTTTCCATGTTGGTATGTGGAAATATTAGTTACCTTCAACATATTTATGTTTGAGAGGTTAACCTTAGCTACAAAATCAAACTTATACTAGTTATTTAGAATAATTCATGCTAATTATCATTTTAAACGAAATCTTAGGATAAGTGAAATGAAAGGGAAGCATCCAAATGTTTGTCAGTAGCACTTTATTCTTCATTTTGAAATGAAATTCTTTCTAAGCAATAGAATTCTACCCTTGGAATAGCTTTTACTTTCATTCTAATATGGTTCAGTGCTTGCCATTTATAAATTCAAGATGAAATAGCACTGTATGTAAGGTGTGAGAGAAGTTTGCATTACTAAGCTTCTAAGACCCTCTTCAGCTCACACATCTGGTTTACCTAACAGGGACACAGTTCACAGAAGTTCAAAGTCCTAACACAGAACAATGAGATAATTGAATTTCACGCAGCTTTAGTTCTAACTAGTTCCAGTTCCAAGTTTAAAGAACGAGAGAGTTTTGCCAGCAAGTTCTATAAACGATCAACATCTGAAACAGATTCAAATCAGAATCATTTATCCAGGACTTTCTATAGATAGGAAGCAAGTAAGGTATAGTTTCTCTCTGCCAGAAGATGAAAAATATAGTGAGGAATGTAACAGGCAGGTTAAATATGGATCCATCATGTCTGAGGTGTTCCGTACCCAGGGCTACATATGGTACAAAGAAGGATGGTGGTGAAAGACTCAGGGCCTAGACCAGTGTTTCTGAGGATCTTTCTCTCTTCCTTGTTCTGGATCATCTAATATCATAACCTGCATAAAGAGGAAACGGCTGTTTACTTCACCATATTGCCACTGGTACCTTGATGGAGAAATGGGTGCTAAGACAGAGGGAAAATATCTAAGCAGTTTCTCTTTTTCTTTTTTTAACTTTATATCATCTAATTGAAAACTTGACTCTTTATTTGAAGACAAGTGGGTACAAGAACATAACATTTGTATTTATACATTGGAAAATTCACATTGTGTTTCTTGTGTGCCTGTTTATCCTATTCCTTTTAAACACAATCGTGTATCATTAAGAAAGCTTCAGGCGTGTTAGAGTAACCTAATTCTTTTTGTAAATATTAACCTTACTGAATCAAAGCATCCCTTTCAATCAGGCTCCTAGATTGTAAAAGGCAATAAATAAATAATTGCACAACTATCTTGAAGTTATTTTTCATATATTTTTGTGTGGTTTCTATTGACTTGAATAAAGAATTTCTGTAGCTTTTTGTTTTGTAAACCAAATTAAATTAGTTTGAATGTTAAACCAAAGCAAACTGCAATAATATGATATATTGGGTAAATCATTTATATATGAATATAAACTCTTGTTATTTTTCCATCAAAAAACACGACTCTTGATGACACTAACACCTACTTATTCTAACTATAGCAGTAATGCATGTCCAATGGAGGAAATTTGGTAAAGACTAAGAAATACAACGGAAAATCAAAAGCCATGATTTTACTACTTGGTTTACTATGGTTATACTCGTGAATTGTTTTGCAGACCAGTACAATTTTTAACTCAACAGATGTAAGTTTTGTACTTACATCCAAGGCTCTGTACTACACAATAAAGATACCTCTGTTAAGGACAAAAAGACTTCTGCCATTTGTGGTCTCACATTTTAGTGGGGGATATCAGAGTGAAATTTAAAAACATATATTAAAAAATTTCCTATAAGCCATGTGCAAGAAAGTCATGAAAGGCACACTTAGGAAACACTTGGACTTGTGATGAATGTAATTATTAATTAGAAGTGGCTTGGATGGGTGAAGATATTCTAAGTAAATAGCACAGCATGGTGTTATGAAATATGTATATTATGATCTGAATTAAAATCTTCCCACACCAGTCCTTCTGTAGCTCAGGGTTCATTATTCTTGAAATAAATTTGTTATGTGCAATTTACTTAAGCAGTTTCTTAACTTTTTATGTTTTGTGCAGAATTAACAAATGATGGTGTACTTCATCCTTATGCACAAAGCTTTAGCAACTTGTGAGAATATATCTCTAGAATACATTTAAATTCATAGGAATGGACATGTTTAGTCAAAAGACAGAAGTTTTTAAAGATTTATTAATGCTCCAAGTATGTATGCTATGTCAAAATACACTCTACTCTCATGTATTTTTACCAAGAACAAATAAGGAATAAAAAAAAATAACGCAACATAAACATATATCACATGTACTTTTGGGGTACATGAACATCTAAATAATTTTTTAAGAAAATCATATTTTTAAATTGCACTCCAGAAAGATGCACCAATTTACACTATTGTATTGGTATAATACAATACCAGAGAATCCATCTTCTATACCCTCATTAATCCTCAGCAATATGATAGGCATAGAGGAAAAAAACATGTCAGCAATTTTAGTTACATTTCTTTGATTTCCAGTGGGATTTAACAATATAAAACTATTTTGAATAAGCAATGACGTGAGCTGATTAGTTTTTCAGACTCTGTAATATACTAAACCATTGTAAAGAAGAAACAATGGAGGAAAGGTTTCTGATCTCTAGTTTTACTTTGCTACTTTTAGTTTAACACTTTTTGTGGGAAGTGGGGTGTTTGAACACACAAAAAATTGGGTGCTTAGTAGTTGAAAAGATTTTATGGAGAGAGAAACATATATATAAATGTCATACTTTTCTAAAATAATAAAATGTTTTTATTGTTATCTGAGTTTCATACCAATTATTGCTTTTAATAGAGAAGAGAATTTTAGGAAAACAAGTTCAAAACATAGTCTCAAATGTTGCTCCTATTCTATTGTGTATGTATTTTTTTTCTACTGATGATATTTTTTTCCTGTTTCTTTTTCTAAGGAAAAACTGGTCATCTTCCTGGATAGTTCTTTCTAGTCGAAAACTTGAATTTTACAAAGAATCCAAGCAACAGGCTCTGTCCAATGCAGTGAGTATTTCTCTGTTTTTACTATTATTATCTTTTCAGAAATACTGTTGAATTAAAATTTTGGTTTCATCAGAAATCACCCTAAGGCTTCTAAGCTACAAACATCTGAAAACAGATAGAGGAAATGACTCAATAAACTTTTAATCAGATGAAGGGAAAATAGAACTTAGTGTCTGTTTTATTAAGTGGTGCATTTGGAGAATAATCACAAAATGAGATGAATGGTGAGCAGCTCCCTAGTAATGTGAAGGTAACGCTTTAAATTAAGGTGCCACTTATAAATGCTTTATTCTTATTTATGAAATAATCACTAAATGTAGCTACTTGCTCAAATAATGTATTATAAAGTATGTTATAAAATGCATTAGTAATAAATGCTTAACGGATGAGACCATGGGAAGCTGTTTTAAAGAATATAAGATGTAAATCGTATTAAACCATGTATGTGCATCTTTAATACATGAATTTAAGTTGTTATCTAGTATGCTATAAAGTGCTCCACACATTAATAAATAATAATAAACTCTTTATAAATGACACCTTAATATAGGGTGTTACCAATGAGAAAACACTCTAAGTTAACAAAGTGATTTTTTATCTTATTCTAACTCTGACATTCACTATATCCAGCTAACCTTTTGGAATATTTCTATGACTCCATCTAATGGAGCTAATACAATTTCTGTATTCTGTAGTTATTACAAAGTGAAATTTGTAGGGTTTCTTCATTGTACCTGGATGAGGGCTTCTTTCACGCCTATTGAAATTTGACAGTGATTGTAAGTAAGGGCAATTTGGAGAGAGTTACTGGGGCAATTCAAGCCCCAAACCTTGCTTCACAAACATAAGAACTGCTTGCCAAAAGATGTAGGAGACAGTGGTCAGGCAATGTACCTGACAGCCTCCTGATTAGTAAGGACTCCAGGCAGGAACCAACCTGCCATTGCCTGACCATTGTCTCCTACATCTTTTGGCAAGCAGGTACATTGCCTGACCACTCCTGATTAGTAATTAGTCCTTACTAATCAGGAGGCTGTCAGGTACATTGGTACCATCACTGTATGGACCACATTGCCTGGCAAGAGTGGATCAAAATGAACTAATTTATCTTTGGCAGGTAAAAAAACAAAGAAAAGTTCTTTGCTGTACAGCCACTAGTCATGTTTGCTATGTAATCCTCTTTAAATAGAAAATCATTTGCTAAGAGATGTTTTTTTAAAGGAGATTTTAGTGAGAACAAAAGGTAACATTTGGCTTGCTTCTGATAATTGCAATAGCCTTTATCCCCAAAGTGGCTTGCTGATTTTGGTGTCTTGGTGTGGTCCAATTTGTAAACTAATTGTGAATAAATTAAAAATATGTCTGTCCTTTGTATTTTTAAACTGCCTCAGAAATTTGTTTTAGGTTCTGTTTTGTTTTCATTTTTTGGCTACGGTAAGTTTGAGATAATCTTTTTAAGAAAATAAAATACCCCTAAGGGCCAGGCACAAAACAACCTCATCTACTTGCAGGGCCTTTGTCTTCCCTTTGAATGTGTTCTAAGGGGATGTTAGGAAGGGAGGAGAGTGGCTGGCCTTGCTGGGTTTGGCTGCTGAGAAGATGATCTTCATCCTGCTGAGTGAGAAGAATTCCATTGGAGCAGAGTTTATGTGAATGTGCTGGGATAATGGAGAGAGATTAGACTCCATTTTAAAGCATTTGGTTTACTTTTATTTTATTATTTTAATCTCCTCGTACCAGGAGATATAATTCTCAGCTGTTTAATTATATACAGGTGAAAGAAAACTGCTTTTAGATTGTAGGCAAACCTTGCAAGTTAGCTCACTAATTGTATGCCTCCAGTTCAACCTTCAGAATTGTTACAAACTGACAATAGCTCTGAGTTGTAGAAGAAATTCGTAAGCATTTTTTTGGCAGTCCCTATTTATTACTTCTGGCCCCATTTTCAATGCTCTTATGGTTTCTCCCAGGCACTCATTGTCTTCAAAGTGAATTCAGTGCAGGAACTAACTGTTTTGTGGTAATGGGAAAGAGAATTACAGATTCGTGTTTGTATTGCATGAATTGTCTTGCTAGTCAACTTCTTGGATTCATTTCTAACCAAGTATTAAAGGCCTAGTGGGATAGCCCACATTTACCAATTGGAGCCTCAAAGAAACGATACGATGATTGCCAGGCCTTGATTAAAGATGTCGTGGTTTTATTTTAAAAGATTTATGCTCAAGTTTCTGAATTTCCTTTGCTCCCCCTTTGACATGTCCTGGTGTTCATTGTGCTTCTGGTTAAAAAAATCCATTCCTCCAAGGGGTCAGTAGAAGCTGTCTGAGTGATGTAGAATGTGGTTTAAAAGCATAAATAGTATTTTAATCTTTGTAGAATGATCTGTTAATGCAGCAGCAAGACAAAGAAGCAAAGTAGTTAACAGCAAGCTTTGAAGTTGAACAAGAGGGGATATAATTCTATTTTTACTACTTTGTAGTTGACAAAGTTGAGTTTCCAACCCTCACCTATAAAAATGGAGATCATGCTATCTGCCAAAATAATTCGTAAGTAATAAAAGTAATATAATAAAACCAAAAATATATAAAACAGTTAAAACAATACATAAACATATAAAACAATTAAAATATATAAAACAATTAAATATTTAATATAAAACAATTAAGACAATATATAAAATAATATATAAAATAAAACAATTATTAATGTTCTACTTGAAAATATACTGTACATAACTTAGAATATGGTGTAATTATGATATTATTATGCTGTTAAATTATGATATTATTGCACTTGAGTTGATTCAGATATTTATAGAAGAAGGAATTTATTAATTCAAGGAACACCAACATGCATGGCATTCCAACAAAGAAATGTGTGTCGATGGGCAGCATAAAATATTGTGTGCAGACACTAATACTAAAAATGAAGAAACCCATTCATTTGTATAACCAAAAGTAAACTTCTGCATATTTTCTGAGAGCCCCTTTCTTATATCACTGGGTCTCACTCTTACCATTTTCATATTTAACATGTGTGTCACAGAATATTGTGCCTGAACCTACGTTCCATGTTTGACTACCTCTTTTTCTCCCTGCAGTTCTTTCAGTTCATGTCAGTTTTCTTCACTTAGAACTGCTGTTACAGAATAACACAGACTGGGTGGCTTAAGCAGAGATTTACTTTTAACAGTTCTGAATACCAGGAAGTCCAAAGTCAAGGCATGGAGAGATCTGGTGTCTGCTGAGGGTACTCAATGTGAATGCATTTGGCCATCATTCTGCTGTAACCTCATGTGATAGAGAGTAGAGAGAGACCAAGCTCTTATTGCTCTTCATGTCTTCATGTAAAGGAAATAGTCCTATCATGAGGGCTCTCGGTCCATTGCCTAATCACCTCCCAATGGCTTCACTCCTGATATCATGACACTGAAGGTTAGGACTCAACACTTGCATTTAGGGGACACAGCATTCAGTTCATAAACAAACTGAAATCACATTTTTATCAAAATGAACCTTCTCCAAAAATAGATACAGAATTACCTCCCTGATCTGAGGAGATTAGTGATTTGCATACTGTAGGTCCTCAGGAACCTATTAAAGAAAAAGAATGATTGATCTATTTTATTTTTTATTTTTTGATAGAAATTTAAGAGTAACCAACCACCTACTATCATTATCATGTTATAACTGAAAGGGCATTATAAAATATCACAATCCAACATCTAGGAAGGATAAAATTTCAGAAAAGGAGACATATTTTATGGAGAAAGAAAATTGTCTCCCTTGTGCATCTGCATGCACGTCTCTATTTTGTTCAATTTACCTCAAATCAGAACAAGCTTGATCCAGGATGGCTGGTCAGGAGGAGCATTTGAAAACTGCTGGTGTCTCTGGACACAATTTTCTGGGTTATGAAAGAAAGAATGATGTTCATATTCTCATAATTTAAAAGAAATGTACTGTGATTTAAAACTCAAGATAAATTTTAAAAGATGCTACAAAATAATGCAGAAGCCATTTTTAGTTAAAAATAGAACACATCCATGTACACTGCAATAATTCTTAATTAATCACCTGTGTAAGCACAGCTGAGGCCAAGAAACAGACCCCACCAGCCCTCCACAAGCCCCACCTGTCACCTGTCCCTTTGTCATCACAGCCTCTTCCTTGCCCCAAAGTTAGCCACTGGCTTGCATTTCAGTCAGTATCTCATTATAAAAATTATAAAAATTTTTAATTATAATTTTAATTTTCTCACCTATATCAAAACCCCTTAAAAACAGTTTGCTTTGAATTTATGTAAATGAAATCATATTGTATGCTTCTTTCTTTTTTTTCTTTTCTTGCTTTTATCAAGAAGTAGGTCTTTTGTTGCTGTTCTTTATTACGTCATCTTTGCCACAGTCCGGCTGCAGCAAAATAACCAGGGGGTGACGAACAACTTGTGTAGATTGATACAGCAGGAGTGGAAGCCGTTTATTGCAGGACAGGAGCAGTATTTATACATTCCACACAGCTTATCTAATTAGCATAAACTAGATACATCAGTCAACCAATAAGGAATCTCCACACTTAATGGCTCGCTTTTGTTACTTCTCAAACCACACCCTCTGGCATTTTGCCAGGCACCATCCAGACTTGTTTACGAACTCTAACATTCCCCTGGCAAAATGCCAGGTGTTATTTTGACTTGTTTACAGACTCTGACATTTTCCCCCTTTTGTTATAATTTAAATAACGACCATAGTGGTTTTTACAGAAACACCATAAATAACCTGCTACAAACAGAAAGGGAGGATACAAAATGCCACAATACCAAGCCACTTGATGGCTCCATGCAAGAAGCCCTTGGAAAAATTATACCAGCAATGACACTGTTAGCAAAGATACCGAGTTACAATTTGTTATAGATTACAGTTTGTTGTCTCAGTCCAGGTGAAGCAGTGTAGATTAACTCACAGTTCAGGTAAATCACAGTCCAGGTAAGTTCTGCAGGCA